TATATATTATATATATATATATATATATATATATATATATATATATATATATATATGCTATATAATATATTATATAGATATTGTAAATGCATCTCTTAAAATATGACCCAGGTTTGTCGTTTCTTAATGTTTTTCTTTTCTCTCTCTATTTTGTAACTTCTAATATTCCCAACTCGAAGTATAAAATTGCATAGTCCCTGAAAAATAAAATAATAAATAAATAAACAAACTAATAAATACAGAAAAAAAAGGCAAAAACTGGGTTCAGGTTTGCAATTTTCAAACGCCGTATGCTAAGTGTTTCTCAAACATTAATTTGTTTAATCACTTTAACGTTGTCTTTTTCTTTACACTCAATTTATATCGACTTAATTTAAGCAAACTTAATTGTAGTAAACTTTTAAGCAAACGTAATTGTAGTAAAACTCATAATTATGCAACAATGCCAACACAAGCACTTACATTTGTGTGTTCATACACTATTTCTGGAAGCTTCGTAGCAGTCGCGTGTTTATTTCTCTATACGTTTCTATGTAAAATTGCGATTGAATTAAATTGTCATTATTTAAATTTACTATTATTGTGGTGAGCATTACTATTATTAGTTTTTAATGTCTGTTGCGCTATCCAACTATCATCAAACTTTCCTTTCTTTAAATTGAGTTCAAGTATTGGACACCTGGAATTTTGCATTTAATTTACATTTAATGCACGTTTTTTCCCTTTAAGAAATTGGCCTTGGAGGACGTTCACAGCAAGGCTTTCAGTGAGCCAACCTGTCTTCCAAAATCAAAGACAATAAAAAGGTCTTTGTTTATGCTATGGCCCTGTCTGGACGGAAAAGAGATTCCAAGACAGCAATCTCAGAGCGGCTCAGACAGTGCACTAGACACTGACCTTGAACTAACAACTATTTTAGCCATTTTCCAGAGATTTTGGAGATTTTAACTTTGGCCATCCTAGCGGTAAGAAAATTTAATCTTTTTACTGTGACTCTTAAGCGATATTATTTGAGACAGGTTGTTTGAGGGGAATATTTTTTGTGACTGAATTAAGTTGTTGAAATGCCATTCATTCCCAGGGAGGACCAGTAACTCTCTCAACAACTTGTTTTACTCTCTGTTGTGCTCTTGGGGGAAATAATAAAATATTTTCACTACAACTAATCAGAAATAACTAACAACTGACTAGTGTATTAATTAGCATAAGTGTTTTCTCAAAGTAACTAAATTTCTGGTCTCTATAGCTTCATATTTGGTGATTACGTTTAACACAAAAATGTCCTGATATTTCAGTAAAATATCTGAAAGCATTTAAAATTTATATACACGGAGTGTTGCATAGCATGTTAATTGGTTACATGAATCTGGTATGTGGTACTCTAGCCGTAAAACATGCACATGTGTGCCTAAAATTTTGATGTAATAATTATTGGGCAATTTAGAGGACAGCATTTGTAGTCTTTTAGTTGTTTTGAGTTTCTGTTATAGGTGTTAAGTCAATATTTGTAATGAGTTGAACACCGGATTTCCTTAGGCAGTATCTTTGTATTTATAGCCTAGATACCCATCGCCATTAATGAAGCTGTTTGTGGTTATTTTTGCTTTTGTCGGTTTATTTCAAAGTAGATGAAACAAAAATAAATAAGTTGGCCACGATCATAATTACGATCACGCCTCTACACAGATACACTGACACAAGCTTTAAATTGGCAGCAAAAGCAAAGTTACTGTGCTGCTCAAAGACTCCTGCAATAAATAAGGGAAATGTAAATTATTAAAGTGAACGAAGAATGCAAATATAATTTGCTCAGTTATAAATATATGTCAGCATGAACATGTGCTCAAGTGGCTACGCAAACGCGTAAACAAACCAGTTGTTAAAAAAGTTATGAAGGAATAGACATCAGTTTTTTTTTTTTTTTTTTTTTTTAAAATAAAGGCGTT